ATGCATAGGGATCAGGTGGAATAAAGGAATGTATAGGGACCAGATGGAATAGGGGAATGCATAGGGACCAGGTGGAATAGGAAAATGCATAGGGAGCAGATGGAGTAGAAAAATGCATAGGCACCAGGTGGAATTGGGAAATACATGGGGACCAGATGGAATAGGGGAATGCATAGGGACCAGATGGAATAGGGGAATGCATAGGGACCAGATGGAATAGGGGAATGTATGGGGACCAGATGGAATAGGGGAATGCATGGGGACCAGATAGAATAGGGAAATGCATAGCGACCAGATGGAATAGGGGAATGTATAGGGACCAGATGGAATAGGGGAATGCATAGGGACCAGATAGAATAGGGGAATTCATAGGGACCAGATGGAATAGGGGAATTCATAGAGACCAGATGGAATAGGGGAATGCATAGGGACCAGATAGAATAGGGGAATGCATAGGGACCAGATGGAATAGGGAAATGCATAGGGACCAGATGGAATAAAGGAATGTATAGGGACCAGATGGAATAGGGAAATGCATGGGGACCAGATGGAATAGGGGAATGTATAGGGACCAGATGGCGCCCTGGGGGCAGATCTACAGGAGAAAGAGGAAGCTTTCTGCTGCCAGAGTTAGTCTCTGAATCACACCCGATCTAGAGGTCCCTCTGCGTGTGCATCAGGCCCTGTGGCAGTGAGCTTTGAGGGAGTGAGAGAGAGGGAAACTAATGAGCTGGGAGGGCTACGGGAGAGTGCATCTCTGCTCAGGGGCCCTGGGTCTCTATTAACAGTGGGGCATCCTTTGAAGACAGCGATCACTCACGCTTGCCCAGCATGATGAACAGTCAATGTCACAGAGTTGTACATGTAAAATGTGTTGAATTGGCAAATGCCTTGCTATCTCTTTCTAATCATGAAAGAAATAAAGCAAAAACAGGTGAAAACAAAAACAGCTGGCTTGAGCTCCCCAGGTTGGCAAGTCAGGCGGGAGCTCTCAGTGTGGGCGAGAGGAAGGGCCACCGCTTCCAGGCCAGACCCACCCACCATCCCCCCCGCACACGGATCCCTGTGGCCCACCCATCCCATGAGCGTGGTGCATGGGGAACGTGAGCGATGTCCCCCTGCACAAAATCAGGAGTCCTGTGGTCACTCAGAGAATGGGGCCAGCCTCCATGCACACAGGGCCCGGCATCCGGGCCAGCCACCCCCCATAAGGAAACCTGCAGCCCCAACTTTCATGGCAGGCTTGCAAGCAGGCAGGGATTCAACTCACAGCCAGACACCCAGTCCCCAAAGAAACACCCCCTCCCCGTTCCACACACACACCGTGACATGCCATCACACAGAGATAAGTGCACACTCACACACACATACATTCGGCCCCCGCCCCACCCCTCCTCTGGCCCCTGGGAGGCAGCACCACACTCACAGTTCCTGTAGAGAGAGGCCCTGGACAGTCTTCCAGGAGAGAGACTCCAGAGAATTGGAGGAGAGGTTCCTGCGCAGCACAGGGGAGACAGAGACCTCGCTCGGACCCAAGGGGAGGAAGTTGCCATCTGGCTCCCCCTCCCCAACCTTAGCCCAAGGAGGTAGGGGGCAGGGGGGTGGAGCTAGGGGCAAGCCGGTCCCCTCCTTGGGACAACAAGGGTTAACCCCACTTAACCCTCTCTCCAGACCCCAGGGAGGGGATCTGAGGGAACAGCCGCTCCCCTCTGCTGTCCTAGAGCCCCAGCTGGCAAAGTGCTGAGGCCACAGCTGGGGGAGGGGGCTCCATCTGGGCTCCCCTCCCCACAGAGCCCAGGATGGGGCCAGAGGAGGAGGGGGAGGGCTGAGACTCCCACACTCTTGCCCCACTACCAGACAAATGACAAGGATCTCAAAATACCTCCTGCATCCCCCTTTGGGCCCCTCCTCAGGGACTAAGGAAAGTCAAGGCTGAAGGCCCCCCTGGCCCCCCAGCCGGCAGATAGCTGCAGAGGTGGAGAAAGTGGGTCCCAATAGGGACTGTGACAGCCACATGGAGAGCTGGCTCAGGGGCCACCACTGCCCCAGGGCCCTGTGCTCTGGGACAAGCTACCAACCCTGGGACCTTCTGCCCTGAGCCCTGTCCAAGAGGGGAGCCATCGTGGTGGTGGTGGGGTGGCGTGAGTTGCAGAGACTCTACCTCAGAGGGAGCAGGAAGACCCCCCCCACCCAACCTGTGAGAGCCGGGCAGGCAGCTGGGTGTAGGTTCTCTCTACCACTTGCTTTCTTGGGGTCTCAGACCAGGGCCCTAAGCTCTCTGCTTCTCATAATCCTTATCTACAAACTGGAGGTGACCTGCTGTCACTCCCCAGACTGGCAAGGTGCAGGGACACAGGTTTGCCAGGTGTCCTTGAATGAGATGCCAGTACAACTGTTCAAATGACCCGTCCCACCACCCTCCCACCTCCCTGCCTATCCCCAGTGGGGTGACTCTGAGTTCCTGCCCTCAGAAGGACAGGGAGAGTTTCTTTTGGAACCCTCTCTGCCTGCCGTACCCCCTCGGACCTCTACCCAAGAGGTAGACTCCCAGGATGGGAAGGGGAAGCAGCTATCCCTGGGGCCAGGTGGGCGGGCGTTGGGGGAGGCAGAGCCCCAGCTAGACTCCAGGAGTCTGGCTCCCATTGTCCCTTGTTCCCATGGTGGGCAGCAGCTGCTGGGGAAGGAGATGGAGCAGACAGCGAGAGCAGGAAGCAGGGAAGCAAGGCCTTCTAGCTGGCCAGGGTGGGGGGTCAGGGCATTGCCCTCCGGGAGCACATGAATGCAAGCCTCCCAGGAGAATGGGTGAGTCTCCTTCTCAGCCCAGGCAGGTGCCTTCCTCCCAACAGTTCCCCAGGGAGGTCCGAGCCCATGCATGGCCCAGGTCTGGGCGTCCTCCCACCTCTCCACTGGGCTCTGACCACTCACAGGCGACGGAGAAGAGGAGTGAAGTGGAAGGCATCTGGCGCCACGGAACGGAGACCACTCTTCACGAAGGTGCTAGGGGTGGGGGTGGGTGGGCAGGACTCAGCGACCTCCCCATTCCACCCTGGCCCCCAGGCTGAGCCCTGTAGCCCCCCAACGCTGTTCACACCCTCCTTTCCTCAGCAACCCCTCTGATTCCTGAGCTTCTCTGACCACCCCAGCCCCTCAGTCATCAGCCCCCACTCCCTGGCCCTCTGGCCCCAGCCTCCTGCCACCCCATCTTACAGGCTTCGCAGCTCCCCCAGGCCCCTCAGATCCTTGGATTCCAGGTGCTGCAGATCCTGCTGATTCTCGATGTAGCTGTGGGGGAAGGGGCGGGGTCACAGGAGCCCACCCCCCACATGCCTACCCCTTGACCACACATGCATGTGTACTTGCACGCACACTCATGCCCCCATGCACATACAGACCCACTCACACATGCAGCATCGCATGCATGTGAGCTCACACTTGCATGTGCATTCATATATGAATTGATGCATCTCCACACATACATGAACACACACATGTACACGTGAAACGGCACACCCTCACATGTGCATATACCACCACACACACACACACTCACAACACACATGTATACTCCCACACAGACATACACATATGCACAGAAATATATTTCTTCATGCATGGTCTGAACACACATGCACATGCAGGCAGGCACATATACCTTCATGTATACACACATCTCTCTGGCACACACAAACACGCATGTGCACACATACATGCTCATTGATGCCAACATGCAAGGCCATTCTCAGATGGGTGTTCGGCTTGGGCATGGGCAGGGCTGCTCCCACTCAGCAACGGGAGGCTGTCATCCTGAAGCACATGGCTCCACAAAGGGCCCCGTGCCCCACCCTACACGGAGGAAGCCCCTTCGGTGGTCATGCAGCCATGCGTCCCCAAACAGGCCTGCTGCTCAGGAGCCACCACCCGAGCCCACCCACAGCCACTGGGCCCTCCCCACATGCAGGCAATCCCAACCTCGCCCTACTTCCAGCAGAGCAGGTCAGGGGCAGAAAGGCTGCCAGTCTGCCACCCCCTGACACTCCTGCCCCAGAGGGAGCCAGATGCTCAAGCAAGAAGGAGAGGGGATTATGGGAGAATGGAGTCAGAGATGAGACTAGACATGTGTGTTGGGGGTGTTGGGGAGAGGAGCACAAAGTGGCTGACCACAGTGGGATGGGAAGGCACCTTGGCGGGGGAGGTGGGCAAACAGAAAAGAGAGGGAGAGAGCAAACAGAGATATACTGAAGAGTAAAAAAATGACAGGAAGAGACTGGCAGAGAGAGAAAGACAGGCAGGGAAAGGAGACAGATAAGGAGGGAGCCGGAGAAACAGTGAGATAAGGAGAGAGAGGCAGAGATAGGGAAAGGAAAGAGAGCAGGTATGTGGGGAGGGGAGCCTGAGGCTCCAGCCCTGCCCAGCTTCTGGACTTGACTTGTCAGGGAGTTAGTTCCTAAGAACTCCAGCTGCCCTGAAATGGCACGTAGAGGTCACACACACACACTCACACTCTCTCGCCTGACTCACTGCCTGCACTGTTCTCGAAACTGTGCCCTCATCATGTTCCTTCCCCTAATTTGGGGAGGCCCAGGGCCAGCCTGAGCCAGCCTCTCTGACTCCCCACTTTCCAACCTTGGTCCCCACAGGACAGCCAGGGTTAGGGAATAGCCTCCAGGTGATCCTGGGGGAGGGCACATCACCACCTTGCCCCCACTGCCCATGGAGCTGAGAGCCCTAGGGGCCCAGGGAGGAGGAGCAGACGCAGTGGCCGGGCCGGCATGTGCGAGCTGTCAGGCAGTGTGCTCAAAGCTGCCTCATTCGTTTGGGTTCATAATCAATCTGTCTATTCGAGTCCATTATCTCCTCGTTAGCTCTGCGGGGGAGGGTGGCTGAGAGCAGAGGGAGGGGACCCAGCAAGCAGAGGTGGTGGGCCAGGCTGCTGCCCCACCCAAGGGAAGGGGGGCATCTCAGCTTACCACCCTGCAGACCTCTTACACCCTAGTCCCATCTGCCCACCCTTTACCACCCCAGAGGGCTGGGGTTTGGAAGGGACATGGGAGGGGGGAGCACCAGTGAGGAGCACCCAGGAGCCTGAACCCAGGGTGATGAGGGAGCCGGATTGGAGTGGCAGCCTAGATTCCCATGCCTCCCACTGTGCAGGGACCTAGGCCCAGACTCAGAGGAGGCCATCTCCTCTCTTCTTAGTCTCCCTAGGGCCATTAGAGAGCGAGATTGAGTACCTTCCCGTTAATTACTGCAAGATACCCGAGTAACTCAGTGCCAATTATTACAGCCTGCTCAAGTAACTTCCAGACAGCCATGGCCTCTGCATCCCGGGTGCCTGCCAGCCCATCAATACACGAAGCTATCCCCCTTGTCCCCCTCTAGAACCAAGACCACAGGAGGAGGGCTATCCAGCTGTCCGTCTCTCCTCTGGAGGTCCTGCTGGCCCTGCTGGCCACAGAGAATTCTCAAGTATTTCCCAGCCATCACCATGTGATGCTTGAGTACCTCTAGGCCAATTATTACAGAATACTCCCATAGGTTTCACCAGCTGCTAAAAAGTGCTTGAGTATTTTGTAACCAATTACTGTGGGCTGCTGGCAGGCTGCAAAATACCGGCAGCCCCCACCCTTCCCCCACCCCCCAGCTTTGAACCCTTAAGGGAGGCGGGTCTAGGGCTGGCCCGCAGCCCCCAGTGCAGCGACTAGGGTGGAAAGGGAGGTGGGGTTGGGAAGAGGGAAGCCAGGGGGGGATCCTGCCCGCATCTAAATCCTACTAGGAGGCCTGGGCAACGGGCGCGGATAGCTCAGCATCTCCCACCAATTGCAGTTCGATTGCGTGGTCCAGGGCAGGGGCTGGCATTGCCCAGCCATTATAAGGGAAAGGGCGGTCAGGATGCCTAAGTGCGTCCTGCTGCTGACCACCTCCTTGCATGGGCTGAGGGTCCGCACAGCTGCTTCCAGATGGCAGGGCTCCACACGCGCACCTGGAGGCCCACCCTTCTCCTCGAAGCTGGCGCCCCGCTACCCTGAGCCCTAGGCGCCTTCTGAGCCGTGGCCGCGGCGCCCGCAGGGGCAGTGGTGGCAGCGGTGGAGCACCGGAGCACCCAGCAGCTAGCCTAGTGTGTCCGCACCCTCAGGGCATGGGTACGCCGGCCCTTGCCCCTTCGCCCACTGGACACTCACAGCTCCGTCAGGTTCTCGGCGCCCGGCAGGTAGCGGAGGCTTTTCAGGGCTCCGGGCCCGGTGCAGCGCAGCCCCGAGGGGCCGTGGGGGCAGCAGGCTTTGGGGCAGGAGGCAGCGCCCGCGGAGGCCAGCATCAGCCACGCCAGCAGGCTGCCCGGGCCTCTGACCCGGCCGTGCGGGCCGAGCTGCCCGCCCCGTCCGCCTCGCAGCATGGCAGCGC